AGCCCGGTCAGCCAGAGCAGCCTCCGACGCAGCGGCTGGAGGAAAACATGGCAGCAGTGGCCCAGGAAGCCCAACATCCCTTACTGAGGAAGGGTTCCTGAGCCTGGACTCGCCCACCTACGTCCTGTACAGGGACAGAGCAGAGTGGGCTGATACAGATCCAGTGCTACAGAATGTTGGTCCCAATCCAGTAGTGCAGATCATCTGTAGTGAAAGATTCAGAGATGTTTATGATTATTTCCGAGTTGTTCTGCAGCTTGATGAGAGAAGCGAGCACCCCTTGACGCTCACTCGGGATGCCATTGAATTAAATGCAGCCAATTAAGCAGTGTGGCATCTTCGAAGAGTTCTCTTACGGTCACTCCAAAAGGATCTACATGAAGAAATGAACTACGTCACTACCATAATTGAGGAACAGTCCAAAAACTATCAAGTCTGGCATCATAGGCGAGTATTAATAGAATGGCTGAAAGATCCATCTCAGGAGCTTGAGTTTGTTGCTGATATTCTTAATCAGGATGCAAAGAATTACCATACCTGGCAGCATCGGCAGTGGGTCATTCAGGAATTTAGACTTTGGGATAAACTACAGTATGTGGACCAACTTCTCAAAGAGGATGTGAGAAAGAACTCTGCGTGGAACCAAAGATACTTTGTCGCTTCTAACATCACTGGCTGCGACGGTCATGCGGTACTGGAGAGAGAAGTCCAGTACACTCTGGAAATGATAACACTTGTACCACATAATGAAAGTGCACGGAACTATTTGAAAGAGATTTTGCAGGATCATGGTCTTTCCAAATATCCCAACCTGTTAAATCAGTTGCTTCATTTACAACCAAGTAGCAGTTTCCCTTACCTAATTGCCTATGTGGATGTCTATGAAGACATGGTAGAAAACCAGTGTGACAACAAGAAAGACATTCTTAATAAAGCAATAGAGTTATGTGAAATCCCAGCTGAAGAAAAGGACACTATAAGAAAGGTGTATTGGAGATAAATTGGAAGATCCCTTCAAAGTAAACACAGCAGAGAAAGTGCTGAGAAATGTATGGCAATAACACCATCCAGGAGAACTTGATGGAATGCTTTTATTTTTTAAGGGACCCTAAGCAGGAGTTTAAAACTAGAGTGAACATTCCTTTACCTGTGATGTAAAAGATGAATCACACAGAACTGATTTTTAACAAGAACTAAGTGTGACCTTCCTTGGGTGCTGCTGTTATTCATATTCATTCTGAGAAATTTGATTCTTTTAAAGCAAAGTAATTGGAGGGGAGAGGGAATTAAAAAGTCCCATAAAGGAACCACTACTTTTGTAGTCTTACCAACATTCAGTCTACTTGCTGTGCATCACCTTTTCCCTAAGTGGTATTTGCATCCGTAATGACCTCAGGGTACTTGTCTGTAGTGGATTTGAGGTGACTAATGTTCGGTTCTGTAAGTTGGGAATCCAGTTATCGCACTGAGTGGCTGTGCCACACTCACAGTATGTAGCTATCACTGTAACCAACTAATGCAAGAACTGGTTTTGTAATAAAATTACAGAGACATCTAAAAGCAAAATAAAAAAGAAACAAGAAGAGGTAGTTTTTTGTCTCTTACTGGAAATATTGAGGGTCAAAACTGATATAAATGGCCTTCTATGAAACCAAAGAATGAAACTAATAGTGGTGAAGGCAGGCAAAAGAGACTTACAGGAAAATGGAGCTGGTTTCACCAGGTGAAGCCACCCTAGTTAGCTTTCCCCTCTGAACTTCCCATTAGACAAGTACAATTTTTGTTGTTGTTGTTATTTTGGAAAGATCAGTTTGGTGAATGGGAAGGGGTAAAATTGCAGCAAGGGATCAAGATGACAAGAGCATACATCTAAGTTATACCGGATGGATGAGTGGAATGGATATGACTATTTAGATAGGATGTGACTTAATCTTTGTTCATAGAGATGCATGAGAAGGAACTTCGAATAATTTTCCATTTTATGTCTTGAAGAGAGGTTGGTTAGTGGTTAATAGAAAATAAGATCAAGGAAACTCATTAATGGCTTGCTTTCTAGTCTTAATAATGGAGATAGCAATGCCTACTTCCTGTAGTTGTTGGTAGTATTTAGCGAGATAACAAACAAAGCACCAGGAACATAGCAGATATTTAATAAACAATAATTACTTTTCTCATTATCCGGAGTCCTCTTTGGAACTCCTCCATCACTTCCTAAGACATAGGAAGGTATATCTTTTAAAATCAATCTTAAGGGCCAGGCATGGTGGTGCACGCCTGTAATCCCAGCACTTGGGAGGCTGAGGCAGGAGGATCACTGTGAATTCGAGACTAGCCTGGACTACACAGTGAGTTCCAGGTCAGTCTCAACTACATAGTGAGACCCTGTCTCAAAAAACCAAAACAAAACAAAAAAAAAATCAATTTTAGATGTCACATTCCTTTCAAAGTACTTATTGCTCCCTCAAACTACACAAAATATTTGGTGACTGTCCACACTTCTTTTTTTCTTTCATTAAATTTATTGGTACTTTTAAGGTATACAATATAGTTACATTCATCATTGGGATCTTGTACCTTTACATGACATATCTTTGTTCTTATTTTTGCCCCATTCCCTGCCCTCCTTTTGCCCCCTCCACCCTTCACTATTTACAAAGACTTTGTTTCCAGTTTTTGCCTTTCTCATATTTTTTCTTTTCTCTTCTTACCTTTCCCTTACCTCTCCCACTTTCCCTACTCCTTTAGACCTTTTCTTCCTATTACACAATATTAATTATACATTTTGATCCTTATTTACACTTTTAGTTTTTCACAACAGAGAAACTGCTCTGTATTTATGCATATGTCCTAATAATTTCACTTAAGAGTACAGCCTCAATGTGCATCCGCTTAGCCATAAATGTCTCTAGTTTCTCATTCTTTATGCCTGAGTACTACTCCATCTTATAGAAAAACCATGTCTTCGTCCAGTCTCCAGTTCACAGACAATTGGGCTGTTTCCAAATTTTACCTATTACAAACTGTGCTTCTATAAACATGGGTGAGCATATATCACTGTGGCATGATTCTTTTAATTCTTTGAGGAAAATACCTAGCAGAGTAACAGCTGGGTCAGATGGGACTTCTGATCCTAGTTTTTTGAGATATTTACATATGGATTTCCACAGTGGTTGCCCCTGTCTGCACTCCTACCATCAATGGAGAAGGGTTCCTTTCTCCCCACAACCCGCCAGCATTTGGTTTTGGTTGATTTCTTGACAGCAGCCATTCTTTCTAGGGTGAGGTAGAATCTCAATGTTCTTTTCATATGCATCTCTCAAAAGACCAGTTATGTTGAACATTTTTTCATATGTTTATTTGCTGCTGTTATTTCTTTGTCTGAGAAAAGTCTGTCCATTTCAGATGCCCAATTTTGAGTTGGGTCTTTATATTTAGGGAGGGCTCTGATTTTTTTTGAGTTTTTATGTTTTTTTTAATTTATTTTTTTGGGGGGTTGGTTTTTTGAGACAGGGTCTCACTATGTAGGTGAGACTGCTCTATAACTCACTGTGTAGCCCAGGCTGGTCTCAAACTCACAGCGATCCTCCTGTCTCAGCCTCCCAAGTGCTGGGATTACAGGCACATGCCACCACACCCAGCTCTTTCTATGTATTTTAGATAGTAGACCTTTGTCTGTGGGGCAGCTGGCAAAATATTTTTCCCACATTGTAGGTTGTCTAATTTTAGCTTAGTTGGTGGTTTCACTTGCAGTGCAGAAGCTTTTTAAAAATATGGGATCCCAGTTGTTGATTCTTTGTACTAGTTTGCATGCTACTGAGGATTTGTTTATAAAGTCTTTTCCTATGCCAATGTCATCAAGAGTTTTGCCTAATTTGTCCTCTAGCAAGCTTAGCATTTCTTTTCTTATTATTTAATCCATGTGGTTTTTAGTTTAGTGCATGGTGAAAGATAGGGGTCTAGTTTTAATCTCTGGCAAGGTGAAATCCAGTTTTTCCAGCACCATTTATTAAAGAGGCTATCTTTCCTCCAGTGAGGATGGTTGGCTCTACACTTCTTGATCCCAACACTGCCCCCTCTTTCTATTCATGAGACAGTTTATTATCTTGGTACCACCTGCGCTGAATAGAGAGCACTTTACATGTACAAAACAAAAGTACATATTGGGTCTTTCCTAATTATTTCTGCTTGTTAACTTGTCAGTAAAGATTTTTTTTTTTGCCCTTTTCTTCTGCTTTTATTTTATTTTTTTTCTCATTGAGTTTATTGGTACATTTTAGGTATACAGTATAGTTACATTCATCATTGGGATCTTGTACCTTTACATAACAGGTCTTGGTTCTCATTTTTTCCCCTTGCCCCTAACCTCCCTTCACCCGCTCCTCCCTTCCTTATTTACAAAAACTTCATTTCCATTTTTTCATTTTCTCATATTTTTTCTTTTCCCTTATTTCCTTTACCCTACCCTTCCAACTTTCCCTACACCTTTAGCCCTTTTTTTTTCCTATTTCACGTTGTCAATTATACCATTAGGATTTTACGTATCCTTATAGTTTTTCACACTAGACAGATTATTTGGTATTTATACATGTGTGACTTATTTATTTCACTTAGGAGTATATCCTCAATATGTATCCATTTTCCTATGAATGACTCTAATTTCTCATTCTTTATGGCTGAGTAGTATTCCATTTTATAGAAAAACCACATCTTCTTTAACCAGTCTCCAACTTTTCTTCTGCTTTTAATGCCTCACCTGATTTCACCAGACTTACTAAGGCAATCTAGAGTAATCTTCCTACTTTGAGCTCAGTGGATTAATAATTTTAGTTACATCTACAAAATCCTTTCTTGGCAATATCCTGATTAGTGTTCGAATGAGTAACAAGGGAACAAGAATATTCTCAAAAGACATTGAACCTATTGATTTTATTCTCCAGTTACGTCTAAGCCATTCAATCTCATTTTTGGTTTAACTCTGAAATAGCAATGAAAACCTTTAAGTTCTGTGTCTTGTCATGCTCATTTAAAGTTTTATATCCCCTCAATCTTCCCTGAGTTTATCTCAGGACTGCAGAGATATGTTACTTTTGCTGAATGTTGGACATAAATTTTGTATCTCCTTCAACATGGACTTCAGGTTTCCAGTTATGGCCATCCAGCTATTTTTTTTAAGATGTCAGTAAAGATTTAGAAAAAAATTGACTTAAAGTTCTATCACATTCTTGTTCCTATCACTTTGTTGCTTAATGTGCTTAAAATCCTATCCTCTTGTTAAGGATTCTTATAAGCTGCTATGTATAATAGTAGAACATATCAGATTCTAGAAATAGATCCTTTGGATCCAAATCTTGGTTCTTCTATTTACTAATTGTGTTACTTAGATCAAACTATTTTGGGGGGGTTAGATAAACTAATTTTTTTTGGTTCTCCTCAAATAGTAGTGATTGTAACACTCCTACTTTGTAGCTTTGTTGTCTGGATTCAATGAGATAGTACCTAAAACAACTTAGACAGAGGAAGTGGTATGAAAGCATAAAACATTGCTTACATTTCTTCAGTTTGAGGCTCAAAATGCATTCCTGTGGTGCTATTTTGTCCTCAGCTGCAGACTGAGTTAATTATCCACACACATTTATTTATGGTGCATTCTTTTTACTGGTCCAAGAAAAACCTCCCTCTTTTATTCTCTTCATTCATGTTTCCCAATCCCATTCCCTTTTGCTCTATAGAAACTTCTTGTGTTTAATATGTATCTGTTTCTTTGTATTTATTCTTCTAAAATGTGTATGGCTATTTTGCATGATAAGTAATGATGTAGCTCAGGATATGTACAAATGTGCGTGTGTGTATCTGGCTTCAATTTCAACAAGGGTCTGGATCTGTAAATTCATGATTTTAATCAAATTTGAAGTATTTTCACCTTTATTCCTTTAAATATTGTTCCCCTTCTTCTCACTCTCCTCACATTAGAGATGGCTTGTCAGATGGCTTGATATTGCTTGATAGGTTAGTACACTTTTAGCACTACTCTATAACTTTATTGGGATATGATATATAAGAGACTACATATTAGGGCCAGGG